CCATTAATATTCGTGCTCGTGCCGTGCCGTGCCTCATTTAAATGGGCTGGGCTCGTGCCGTGCTGGGCCGGCCCGTCCCGTTTGACACCTCTAGTTTTGATACAAGGCAAAGTGTCTAACAGCAATATCAAACAACAAAAGATGTAAACAAAGCAACTACAAAAGGAGAAAAACTTATTTATAGGGGGATGTCATTAGTTTCGTTGGGTTTTTCACAGGACATGGAATTTGGATGGCAAAGACTTAGCAGATTGTTGCACTTCACTAATTTGGTCATGAGTTACACAAATCATTTAAGAGAACAAAACGGTAAAACAAATGAAATCAACGTAGTTTTCTTTATACAAGGAATATTAGATAGCGACGAATTAAAATATGAAAATTGTGAATGCTCTTAAGTGCTTGAGTTACATATCTATTGGATACATTTTTTTTAATCTCATTATACAATGAATTTTAAGCAAATTCAGCTTTTTCATGGTATAATAACAATCCACATTATTTTCATATTTGGTAAATCCACTATTTAATTAGGACAAAAAAAAAAAAAAAAAAAGAACCCCCTATTTCATTGGTTGGAACCACAATAATTACCAGAAATAATTCTTAAACAACATTGTTTACTTTATACCCTAGTTAGTAAAACACAGAACGAAAAAAGTATAAATAAAATACGTACGTGTTTTATTTAGTAAAATTTTGGTTCAACCACTATATAATATTTTAAATATTTTAAATATATATTATTTTTATTCAATAATATATAAAAAAAATATGTGAATTTTGTCTGTATTATTCAAAAAATTTGTAAAAAAACTCGTGTATTAAAAGTAGAAAATATGTACATATGTATATAATATGTGTATTGTATGTTTCTTTAAAAAAAAATACATATATATATGTGCATAATACAAGTATTAAAGGGTGAATGACAATCCTTTTCTTTATTTCACTAATTAGTAAAGCATCAAGGTTCGAAACCCAAAAAGAGCAATGTAACCAAAAAAAGCATCAATCAGAGAGAGAGATATTCACATATATACATACACATAAAGTAGAGTGAGAGCTCGGTAGAGAGAGAGAGAGAAAGAGAGATAAAGGCGAGAGCTTTATTCGCTATTCTGTCATCTCCTACCTCCATTTCCAACTGGGCCTTTATATCTCCCTGAGTTTTCTGAGATTCTCTGTGAGCAATTGAAGATGGTAGACTTTGCTAGGGTTCAAAAGGAGCTTCAGGAATGCAGCCGAGACGTCGAGCGCTCAGGTATCAAAGTCAGCCCCAAAGGCGACGGTAGTCTTGCCCGTTTAATTGGAACCATTCCTGGCCCAACTGGTACCCCTTACGAGGGTGGCACTTTTCAGATCGATATCGCATTGCCAGGTTCAATTCAATTTCCCTTGTCATTGTGCTGTTCTTTCTCCTTTTACTTGTATTTTTGGTGTTCTTTTATGTTCAGTTCTTGAGAAAAGCTGCGGAAGTGAATGGGGTTATGCCAAGATTGAAACTTTAACATTGAAAAAGTTCATTGTTGTAAATATGTAATGGGGTCTATAGTGGGTTTGAATTGAAGCTCTTTGCAGCAGAAGAAAAAATAAAAAGGAAGTTACTTTGTTGTTTTATGTGTTGTCTAGTGCTGTCAAATTTGGGGTTAAGTGGGTAAAAGGCCACCATGATAAGACTTAATGAGAAAGGAGTGTGTCAAAATTCCTACTAACATGGCTGTCAACTGTTGGATTTCTTCTTGCAGATGCATACCCTTTTGAGCCTCCCAAAATGAAGTTTACGACCAAAGTTTGGTAGGGAGAATTTATGTTCATATCTCTCTTCCTCTTCTTCTTTTTTTCCCGACTCTGCTGGTTCATTGACCATGCAATGAGGCACATTGTGGGATGTTGTCATACATAGCAGTTTTGATTATATTGCATATAAGAGTATTTTAGCACTTCTGGGATTTAGAATTTTCCTCCTTTTAAGTCTTTATGTAGTCAATTGAGATTGAAGTAAACTGACAACCCGTTGCATGTACCGTGGGTTGAATTCAAGTATTTAGTAGTCCTTGATCATCGTGGACTGCAAGATCGGGACTTTGATGGAACTTTCTTGATTTGGCTTGGAGGTCGATAATTTGGTTCTTAGTATACCCTGTTTCCTGAACTTTATATTGTTAGCAATAACAGTATGTAAACTAGAGATAAAATAAACTGGTGACAGTGTGTAAGAATCTGGGGGGCAGATGAATTTGTATGCTTGAAGAAATGATATGCATAGGGATCATTAATATAGAATTTTCTGTTGTGTATGTATGTCACCTGTTGAAGGCACCCTAATATCAGCAGTCAAAGTGGAGCAATTTGTCTGGATATTTTGAAGGACCAATGGAGCCCAGCTCTCACATTGAAAACAGCACTTCTTTCTGTACAAGCATTACTTTCTGCTCCTCAACCAGATGATCCTCAAGATGCTGTGGTGGCACAACAGGTCTAAACCTGCTTTTGTCCTTTATCCAATGATTCTGCTATTGCAAAATTTTTGTCTTTCAATTGATGTTAGATTATGTTTTGTGGATGTGCTGTACTTGGAGAGTATCAGACTCACTACTGATTGCTGCTAGTCTTGCCTTGATGGTGGTGCCTTTGTGTATTTATTTATCAAATTTTTCTCTCATTCTAAGTTAGTTCCTTTATGTTGATATTGCAGTATCTTAAAGATTACCAGACCTTTGTTGGCACAGCTCGATACTGGACTGAAACTTTTGCCAAGAAATCGTCTCTTGGGATTGAGGAAAAGGTCAGTCTGATCCTACCTTCTCTTTGATCTGCTTGACTTTAATGTCTATGGAAAGAATAGATGCATTTTGAAACTTAAGTCACCATAAAAAGAGTAACTCTTTTGAAAGCAAACTGAGCAGTCTGGCAGATTTTTAGTTTATTTCCTTATTGATAAATCTGCAAAATTGGAGATCTGGTAATATATTGAGTTTTCGTGTACAGGTACAAAAACTTGTAGAGATGGGGTTCCCTGAAGGTCAGGCAAGGACCACTTTGGAAGCTGTTGGTGGGGATGAGAACTTGGCCCTTGAAAAGCTTTGCTCTGGTTAGCCAAAATAGAAGAGCTTTCCTTTGGTTAGCACACATATGGCGGCAGCTGCCAGTAGATTTACTATTTTATAAGTATATATGCCACCCATCCCTAGAGGCTGGGAATTATACTCACATCAAGGATTAATTGGATATAAGGTTTCCTTTGTTTAGTTTAGGTTTTTTCATCCTTAATATTTTGCAGACGTTGTTATTGCCCTTATTGACCAGTAGTGCTAAAATGTTGAACTTGGGGGTAAATTTTATTTTCTGCACCCTTGTCCTTCCAACAAATCCACCTCACGGCAAATGGCACAGCTAATATGTTTTTGTGTTCTGGCAAGGAAATGTGCTTCTGTTAGGTCCCAAGTTTATCACCGGTTCATTGTTCCTTCATATTAAACTAAATACAATAATAATAAAAAAGGATACAGTGCCGGTTTCCTCCCTGAGCTATCACGCTAGGGTAAACGGCTGTTACAAAACCCCAAAAAGAAAGAGAAGCCTCAGTGTGGGGCAACTAGATTCTGGTATTGTTGAATGCCTACAAACAAAAGAGACTGAAACTGATCGTTTTATACAGAAGAGATTGATGCCATTCCAAACTTCTCATCCCAAATACGAGTGCATACACATACACGTACGCGTAGTAGGTATAACGACAAAACAATACAAGAGCAAGCACTAAGCAGAATCAATTAGCAAAATGAGAGCACATTTTGGAAAACAAATCAAGAGCAATGGTAAACAGCCACTCTCCTCGAAGGAGGCAGGCACATGATAAAGAAGGCCATAGCAAGCACCAAAGCCAGCAGCAGCCCCAGCAAAAGCTCATCTGGATCCCAGCAGCAGAAGAAGGTTCCCATTTTTTGCTCACCACTTCCCAAGTTTCTGTTTTTTCAGAACTTCAAGAAACAAAACAACAAATAAACAAGAACGCTGGCTGGCGTTTGATCGGTTGACAGCTTTAGTGGGTGATTTGATCTCTTTTATCCACAGAACCCCATATGTAAAACCAATGGACGGTGGACACGTTTGTTCAATAATTTTGTGCTACTTCAACTTCGAGTGGTTTTGGTTGTCCTGCTTCTTTGTGGCTAGGAGCCATGGATTCAGCAACATTATCATGCTTCTACTCAAATCAAATGTTCTGTCTTTTCTTTTTAATTTATTTATTATAGTTATATGAAAAATAAATCATCTATAAACCTATCCATATCTATCTTAAGATTATGGTGCCAATTGGATTAAAGTTTGGAATTATCAATTATGTGTGGTATACACATCTGATTTTGTTATGTTCTTAAGATTATGGTACTTCTTTTTTGTTCTATTGTCAACGTTGAAAGATGTTTTAAACTCAAATTTTTCATCCTAATTGATTCGAAACAATTAAAATAAAATAAAATGGCCAAACAATTGGGCTTTTTTATTCGACCCCATGTAAGGTTTTAACAATGTCACCGCACTAGCCCAAAGAAGAGATTTATGTTCTAAAGACATATACGAACGATCTGATTGTAATTGTGATACTTGAACCTTTACTTATAACAAGTGGAGCCTTACATAATTTGTTGTTTTGTTCTTGAGATCCTTAAGT